TAGAAGCCTCTTAAAATCTAGTATCATTCTTTAAATATATACTCAGTTAACTGTAGCTCAGTGGTGGGCAATCTGTTTCAGATGTTAGATGTTTTTCAGCTTCAACTGCTTATCTCTCGTTAAGAATGTGGAGATCTGTCAGTCAGAATATTGGGTTGACTGGGCTAATAGCCTGAAATGATTGAAAGCAACTTCCTGTGCTCTTACAATTTTCCAGTCATAAATCAACTTATAAAGCATACAATGCATTTATCAAGGCTTTATATCAGGTATAGCACTTAAGAGTTTCTTCCTGTTCTGCTTTCCTAAAGCAACTTCAAGAAGGTTACATCAGTAGATTTATTATACAGAATTAAGAAACCATACATATAAGTTTTCTTCTAACAACATGCACCAATCTTACCCTTCACGTTAGACCAGGGGTTCTCAACCTTGGCAACTTTAAGACTTGTGGACTTCAACTCCCAGAATTCCTCAGCCAGCAAAGCTGGCTGAGGAATTCTGGGAGTTGAAGTCCACAAGTCTTAAAGTTGCCAAGGTTGAGAACCCCTGCGTTAGACCCAAAGTTTCAATTCCTCCTGCCATTCTAAGGCAGCAGTTTTCTGGCTACACATTTCCTGGACTGAAGGTTATTGTGATAGTGCCTGATTTATAAAATGGCTTTCTCTGGCGTGGCTGTGAAATAAGAATTGGAGAGCCCTGCCTCACCAGCTTCAATCCCCTTGAACTTAATTGAGTCTCATTAAATAGTTCCTGAGAGATGAAAGATGCTGTTATTCCAAAAGAAAAAAGATCCTTGCCATTGCTGACTCCTCTATGAGCATTCATTTGAATACTGACAGCTAGTTGTGACACACTAGAAGTAACAATAGCCTTGCTTCAGTCAGTGGCTTGTGGAGGATTTGGGGGGGGGGGTGACTTTTAAAGAGTGTCTCACAGCCTGTGCTACAGGTATTGTACATTCCTTGGAGTTCATGCCAAAATGAGGTGGTAGTTGAAAGGGGCCTTGTTGTTAACCATTTTTCATGAAAGGATTGTTTGTTTCCTTTCAGTGAACTCGCAACAGCCTGTCTTCCAGGCTGACCTTTTCCATCTGTGCTGATCTGATGGGAAGTGCTGGTTCCCAAAGGCCTCATATGCAGAGTAGATATAAAATACACCTACTCTACAAAGATCAATGTTGCAATAGCCATTGGTTAATCATAGAGTTGGTTTTACTGAACATTTTCAGTAAGAGACAATAACAACAACAATCCAGAAAACCGCATTTCAAAAAAACTTATGAATTGATTTGCAACACTTCAATAAAATGGTCATTGTGAAACCAATCTCCAACATTTAAAGGTGAAGAATCAGTCTGTGAAGTCCCTGGAAGCCCTGATATATGCAACTGTTTCTGTTGCACTCTAATCTGGTCTACAATCTGTCTCCTTGCTCCAGATCTCTCAGAAGGATCGGCTCAGGATTGTGGAAGGAGGAATTGAGCAGGGAAAGTAGGGAAAGTTTCCTGGTTTCTAGACCAATACTTGAACTATTGCACAAAAAAAATATTTCTAATTTATTACATAATTATATTAACAGTATCATCGTTCCATACTTTGTAGAAGCAACTCAGGCCTGAAACTTGCAATATATTTAGATCTGCAGTTCATTTTTAATCATTTTAATAGCATAAAAACACTGACTTCTTTACTGGCAACTAAAGCTGCAGGGATTGCCATCACTGAGCAATGCAGTTGTGGTTCATTACCACATTGCTTAGCAACAGAAATTCTGGTCTGAATTGCCCTTATAAATTGAGGACTATCTGCGTAGGCCAAATCAGGAAACAGACTCCACAGAATGACTGGGACTCTATTTTTACAGGTTATAGTAACCAAATCTTAAAAGCCATGACAGCATAATTCCTCCCTCCCTTCTCTTATTCAGGTGGAACTGATCTGAATTTCCTTCTAATATTTTTTTCCTGCCCTGGATTTAAATCATGTTTTTCTAACTTCAGTCATGTAGTTTTTCCAAGATTATATCTGTAATTCTCTACAATTTGACATTTGTATATATATATATACACACATATACAGTGTACCAAGGTCCCATAGACCAGTCATAATATTTTATTTATTAATATTATTTTCCAGAGAAAATGTTAGTGCACTATGAATGTGATGCATCAAAGAAGTATGCTAGAAGAAAATGGCAATCAACTCAAATATTTAATGTAATATAGTATCTATCTGTCTGTCTGTATGTATGTATGTATGTATATATATATATATGTATATGTATATTATTTCCATGAAGCTGATTTTGTTTATGGGGTCTGACTTTTAATACAGCCTGTATATATTTAAGCTATTGAAATATATAAATTGTAATATATAAATCTAAGCCCAACCAATCCTAAATCAGTAGATCTCAGATTAGATACAATCAGGTCTTTTTTAAAAAAAACCATAAAACCCATTTTAGTCACCTTATACATCTAGGTGTTGCTGGCAGTGAGAAATGTTTCCATTTTTTATGTCCATATGGCAAAAATTACCCTTAGGATATTTTTTTAAAAAACAGAAAAAAAAATCTGGCATTAGAAGAAGTACTGGACAATTTGTCTGCATCCATCAAAGGGTTTGCAAAAGATCTTAATGAATTAATGCTAAATAATTTTAAAAACTAATGCTTTAGATAAATGGAATTTTGTATAACTATCACATTTTTAAAGCTTCCTGGAGTTTAGCAATTTAAAACCTCAAGCTTTCTGTGAGTGGTTTATTTATCTAATTTATCTAATATACAAGCTTCTGCTTTGCTAGCAATGAAATTTCCATGGATCATATATTTGGTTTAAGTATATGCGACTGCAGTTAACACCTAGAATTTAAAATAATTATCTCTTTCTAATTATACAGTGTATATCCTTTGTTTACAATTATTGAATAACTTTAAAAAAAGGCAAGTTTGAGAATATATCAACTAAGAAGCTGTTTAATTTGCATGAAGTGCTTTGCTAAAGTTCCAGACTTGTGGCAAGCTCCGACAGAATTTTTGGATTAAAAAAAAAAAAATTAAAGGGGAATGAATCATAAACTAGTGCAAGTTTGTGCCTTTTTTCTCCATCTTATTCAAGGGGATTCATATATCTGCTCTTTGAAACTCAGAAATGGTAGTGTTGTTATTTTTTTAAAAAGTCTACATAAGTATTAGGAACAGCCTTATTTTTTGAAAAGAGAGCTGTCCCAGTTTAAATCTCAAACAAAAACTAAAAAGTAGACTGGTCAGTCCCAGTTCTGTTGTTCCTAAAGCCTTGTCACTGATTCCAGCATTGCCTTATTCTTTCATGAGGCTTTTCTGAAGCTGGTATTTAGAACGTGGTCTACCTGTTCTCTGATTCTGTAGTGTACATCATACATTACTGATGTATGATGGGCTGTTTTCATATAGAATTCCACTTTTGCAGTTTTGCTTTTGGAGATGGAGGAAAAGACTGATAAGATTTCTTCTGTGTGATTGATATGTTTAATAAATGTTTTTCCCAGTTTACTTTGAATGATATTATTTGGATACACCCTTCACAACATTCATATAAGTCCTTTAAGAAAACTACTGTACATGGACCTGGAAGATTTTTAAAACAATATCCCTGCAACTTCATCTTTTAGAATTGTTTAGAATTTAGAATTCCCCCCCCTTGTCTGCTCTCTCCCCTCCCATCTTTCTATTTTGATATCATATAGTTGTGTTTCTCACTGTGTTCTTTTTCATTGTTTATTTTATTGTTTTATTATCTTACTTCTGTTCACACCCTTCATTTCTTCATTTTAATTGTTATATGCCAGTGGTGGCGAACCTATGGCACGGGTGCCAGAGGCGGCACTCAGAACCCTCTCTGTGGGCACGCACATCGTTGCCCCAGTCCTAGGCCTTCAGCTGGGTTTTATAAAACCTTTTTGCTTTAGGCCGCCATGTGCAAAAAAAAAAAAAAGGTTCAATCAGGAAAAAAAAGTTCTTGCAAAGTTGGAATTGATTGATTGAACTTTTTAGTCCCACCCAGTCTGCTGTTACCACTGCAGCCATGCCCACCCAATTGGCCACACCCACATCCAGCCAATGGGCCACACCCACCCGGCACTCGACGATGCATACGTGGGTTTTGGGTTGCAGTTTGGGCACTCAGTCTCTAAAAGGTTTGCCATCACTGTTATAAGCCATCTAAAGTAGCCTCACAGTGAGATAAGCAGTAAATAAATTTAACAAATAATAAAGTATTTACATCAACTCTGACTATACTCGTCTGAAGAAGAAGGATCTGTTCTGTAGCTTTTAAACTAAAGACAGATACAAAAAAGAATTTAATAGAGTTAAATTTCTTTGCTGTCAGATGATCCAACTGCTTTTATAGACAGATTCTTCTACTTAATGGATTTGTTGTTTAAATTTATCGTTGTTATCCACAAGGAGGCAAATGATAATGTGTGTGATGACATTATGCAAATGCTCTGACATGTACTTGCATTAGATGTTTGGATGCAAATAAGTGTATCATTGTGTGATGATGTCATTGTATATCTGTCATCAGTTTGGTATCAGTTTGATGTGGATTCTCCCGCAAAAAAATATTGTATTTGGGAAATGGTATATTAAGCATTTTTCTTGTGAGTAAAACATTTGGAATAGTGTTGCAAGATAAAATTGATATGACTTAAATACTTGTTTTTGAGATAATTTTCATTAGTTTTTTTATAATTTTGCTAAGATACAGTTTTCAGTTAGATTTATATACACAACCATTGCACATATGAGCAACAATGTTTTGTTGGAAAGACAGGAAGCTTTCATCAACCAGATGCACAAAATACTTTTCTCAGATGACAATATTATAGAAAATGCTGAAACGAGCAGGATAAAATTGAAGGGTACTTACAGTGTAGAAAACAAGAACTGGGATAAACTGAAAAAACACCTATAAACTGTTTGGATTGTTTTTTTCCATCTCTTTTCTTCAGATGACAGAATCTGTTCTCCTCCATTTATGGAACTAACAAATGCATGTGGAGAAGACACCTTGAAGCAGATAGAAAAAAATGGAATTGCATTCCCATTCAGTATGTAAACAGTTTTTATATTTTGCTTAACAGTAAAGTTGTAGAGCATTTCCTCCACTGCCACTGAAATCAATGCAATTTAGCTAAGTACTCTTGGGGGAAAGAGGGGATTTGCATGGCAGATAGCTTGTGGCTGGAGTACATGCTGGATTAGGCACACTTGCTCCAAAGGTATGTAAGATAATATAAAACCACATAAAATTATATGTTCTCATTCTATTAAAATTATTAAAAATAAACTATGGATATAACTGTACTCTATTTTAGTTCTTTTAAGTTTGAAAATACAGTATTTTCATGGTGACAGTGAAAGATGGCTTATTCAGATATTAACAGTCCTACTAGATTAAGTCAGTGTTTTATCTGATCCACTACTCATCGTACCTAGAGACCAAGCAAACACTTTCCTGAAGTCTTTAAGCGGAACATGAGGACAATACAGCTTTCTGTGACAATCGGAATTCAATGGCTAATGTTTTCTTCCATGAGTTTGTTTGATCCTCCTTTAAAAATGCGTAAAGGCTCTGCATGCATATTGTGCATAAAATCCTTCTTTCTATAGTATAGTATGTTATTTTTCTCTTTTTCATTTTCTCTGTCTGCTATTTAGAAGATGAATTATCAAAGTTATTTTGGAAGTGTCTCTTTTTATTTCAATATGTATAATGTTTGTGTTGGTTTATTAGAAAAAGGCCCTAATGCCCATTTAAAACTACAGAGTAATATTCTGGCAAATTGAGATTTTTTTTTTCATTTTAGGTATGCTATACTAACGTATGAATCTTAGATGTACAATTATCTTATAATTACATTACTTCGTAGTTTGTATGCACATTGAGTGCTTATGCACTGGAGACAAATTCTTTGTATGTCCAATCACACTTGGCAAATAAAGTATTCTATTCTAGTATAACATTTATTATAGTATATTAAATGTACTACTATACATTAATGTAAGTATAAGTTCTCTGGGCAAGTTACTGTATTTTCTGGCGTATAAGACGACTTTCTAAATCATGCAAATCTTCTCCAAAGTCGTCTTATACGCCGGAAAATACCGTATTTTCTGGTGTATAAGACGACTTTCTAACCATGCAAATCTTCTCCAAAGTTGGGGGTCTTCTTATACACCCAGTCATCTTATACGCCGGAAAATACGGTAGTAATATGCAACATTAATATATTAAACTATAGGACAATGAAAATATTCATTTTAAATTGAGAGTCTGTGACTATCGGTATTTAAATGGCTCTAATAATGTCAATAGACCATAAGGATTAAACAAGGCAAATTTCTGTAGCAGTGCTCTTCTGTATTTTAGATGTCACTCTCCAAAAAGCCATCCCTTTTCATTTTGCTTTATTTGGAAAGACCTTTTTAAATAAATAACAGGTGCATTAATGTTCCAATAGAATTAACATAGCTATCAAAGACTTAACCTATCTATTCTCACTGATTTTCATTAAAAAAAGTTCAAGAACTTCAACAGTTTGTCACTGAATTATAGTGGCAAGTTCTTGAAGGAGAAACAGTGGCTACATATAGTACAGTGTAGTGCAGCTGCTAAAGTGATGGACTAATTGGGAACATCCATATTCAAGTCCCCAGCTTAATAAGGAGTTTACTGTATTATTTCAGGTCAGTTGCCATCTCTCAGACTAGTCGATCTGACAAGGTGATTGTGAGAATAAGATTAGAGAAGATCCCTATGTAAACTACCCCATCTCTTGGAGCGGTGTTTCTCAACTTTGATTATGTTAAAATGTTTGTGATCTTCAATTCTCAGAATTCCTTAACTAGCATAATTGAAATTCACACTTCTTAAATTTGTTGTAAATATGAAAAACACTGTCTTAGAGGAAAGATAGGAATATAAATACAATTGAATAGATACCGTGTTTCCCAGAAAGTAAGGCCTACCCCAAAAATAAGCCCTAGTTTTAAGGCGAGGCACATACCTAAAAAATCGAGCTAGTGGGGGGGGGTAGAGCTGCCTCACGCGCACTGCACCCACTTACCTCACAGCCAGACCTCTCCTTGCTGGCCCACTTCCTCTGTGGCGTTCTTCTGTAGCCAGGCTTGCATTTCTCAGTCACAGGTCTTTCCAAAAGGCCACTGCAGCCAAGAACCGAGCTATGGATTCAATCCATAGCTCGGTTCTGCAAGACCTCTGCAGCTGAGAACTGAGCTATGGTACTCGGCTACAGAGGCCTTCCCAAAAGGCCTGATTGCAAAATGCAGGCAGGAATACAGCTGCAGAATGACGCTGCTCCTTTGTCCGCAGAAGAAGTGGACCTGCTGGGCGGGGCTGTCGGTGCCAGAGGTGAATATAGAAGATATCCCCTGAAAACAAGACTTGGTGCCTCTTTTGGAGGCAAAATAAATAAATAAATAAGACCCGATCTTATTTTCTGAAAATGCCAAAATGAGAGAAGGCTGGTTTCAGGGGAAGGGTAACCATAGGGTGAATACCATCCAGTTGGGTGGATTAACTAAATCATTAGCATTAGTTGTTAGAAATACTGAAGTGCCATGTGTATATTCTTTTGTACTGACTCACAATTTACCTTTTTTGTTACTGAAGTTTGTAAGACAAGAGTCGCCCATGGAACCAACTCTCATGAGGTAAGTATTTGCACAAGGCTTCATATAGTGTGTATTTAGAAAAACTGCCTTGGCTGGGCATTAAGAGAAAAACTATAGTAGTCCATCTGTGAATTTGATTCATAAACTTCAAGGAAAAGAAAGGAGGGTTGATTCTTGTCTCTCATGCATACTTAGAAGTCATTCTTCATATCCTCATGGCTTCATTAATATTGCAAATTTATTTTTCTCTCATTTTGAAACCCAGTTATATATACTCATACACATTCATTCATCCATCCATCTATCCATCCATCCATTTGTTTATTTATTTGCAATTTTGTAATCCATCCTAATGCACAGGTTTTAGGCAGCATTTGTCAAAATAGAACATAAAAGAAAAAAACATAGAATGAATAAATATCCCAAGATGATAGCCATTAAATAACGATTACTTGGGCAAAAACAAAAATGGAATAGGATATTGACAGCTTTATAAAATGCCAGGATTTGAGGGAGGGGGGTTACAAAAGCCTATGAAGAGAAGGCATTTGAAAATATGGGGATTAAATAGAAAAGTCCTGCCACTTAGTCTTCTTAAAACAGGAGACTGGGATGGGGGGAACTTCTCACAGTGTTTCTACTTCATGAATGGGTTTAAGTCTGGCAAAGGAATGCCTTCTCTAACATAATGCAACGCTACATAGGACTTTATAATGTATTTTCGGCACTTTGAGTTGAGATCAGAAGCCTACTGGCAACTAGTGGGAAGACTTTGACAATGGTACCGACTTGCAGTGATGAGTTACCCTGTCATTGGTTCATCTGCCACTTATGAACCAGCTGCAATTTCTAGGTCATCTCTAAAGGCATCTCAATTTGGTAGATGATTTCTCTCAGTAATTTCACAGAGATGTTAAATAATATAGGGGAGAGCACCAAACAGGTTTCCATTGGAGCAACCATATAATTGTCATCTTCCTCACTCCAGTAATCCAAACTGGATATTCTCATTCAGATAAGAGCAGAAGCACTGAACTGTAGTATGCCCAACTCACATAAGTGACCCTTCAGATACCATAGGTAGTGTTTTTAAATGCTGCCAAAAGTTCTCACAAGAGCAAGAGAAATATCCTGACTCAATAAGGGATCTATGATGGTCATATAGGATGACTATTAGCATTTCCATCCCATTACATAATTGCTTTATTCTATATTTTATTGTAAACCATTCTGAGATGCTTTGGCATAAAGAAGCAGTAGATAAGCATAATTAAGTAAATTTGGGGAAAAGACTAAATAAGAAATCAGCTGCAAGTTGGAGAGACAGAATGCCAAGTGTTTCCAATTGGATAGCACAGTTCTGCATCTTCTCTCCATCCTCCCCTCCCCAGTTTATCTGAATACTTGGCATAAAAGCATAAGAAGAGCTCTGCTGGATCAAGCCAGTATCATAAACACTTCAACATTATGTGTTCTACATTGATCAAGCAATTGCATTCAAGAAGCTGACAAAAAAGAAAGGAAAGCAATAATGTTCTTCTATTCCTGCTCCCTAGTAGCTTGTATTTACGTTTTGCTATGTCTAATCAAAAATAATAAACACCAATAACCCAATCTTCCATCAATTTGTCTAATCCCTTTTAAAACCATCTGAATGTATACTAACGCCACTGATAGCAGCAGCAAATAATTGTATGTTATGTATGTACTGTATGTATTCATGCTGTGCATACTGCTATTGGAACCACCAATGCAATTCTTGTTTATGTGAAACGTGTATTTTTCATCTGTATGACTGTAATTGCAAGTCGTATCTTTATTTTTCAGATGGCTATCATATTCAACCGGGAAGGCCTGAAAGCCATTCAGCCTCCATGTGTGATTCAAAGTTTCATCAACCACAATGCTGTCCTGTACAAAGTCTTTGTGGTTGGGGAGTCATATACTGTGGTGAAGAGGCCCTCTGTGAAGAACTTCTCAGCAGGCATTTCTGGTAAGCTTTGGAAGTGGTAATTCAACGTGGTATACTAGTGGGAAAATCTAAAGAACAACATTTTGGTGAGTCCTGATCCAAAACACATAGAGGACGTCAGGTTGAGGAAGATTGAACTCAGTGTTTCCCCGGCTTTTTGTACTTTTGATATTTTTCAATTTCTCCCTTATCTCCTCCCCCAGACCATTGTAGCAGTAATTTCTTTGGGAGATAACAACTGTTCTTGCCAATAGCTGCTACGTGCATTCAAATTTATGTACCGAAGTGCTAATCTAAAACTGGAGAAAAAGGGGAGGACATTGCAGACTTCTTCCTAAAATAAGCAAGTCAAGATGGAAGCAGAAGAGCTCCTACATGCTTTTAACCCTGTCTAGCTTCCATAGAGGTTTTGAGATTATGGCATCATAAATCAGTGGCTGGATGCAGTTGGTTTCAAATTCTATTTGATACTTGACCCTGATCATCTCTACTCAACTCTTCCTCTAAGAATTTTGGAAAAAATTTCCCTGTATGACACATTCCACCTGAACTTTATTATAAGCACCCAGAGTCACATTTTGTGAAAAGGGCAGCTATATAAATATGATTGATTGATTGATTATATTGTGATCTTTCGTGAAGGCTTTGACATCTTATTCATATGCGATTTGCTTGAAATCATACTAATAAAATTGTTAAAATTGGTTCATAATATTTAGATGGTCTGATTATGTGGTATATCATTCAAGAAAAATGCACTGAGTTAAAATGTTCTGTGATTTCATTTTTTTTTTTCTTTACTCCTTATGAAGAAAACATTTTTGGAAGCTGTAATAGATCTGCTTTTATTTAATTATTTATGTTGAATCACTGTCAAATATGCTATGTTGATTTATAAATATTTTATCCAAAGGCAAGTATGCAAAATAGCAAGGTGAAATTAAAAAAAAATTGCTAAAGTCACAAAATCTAAAAGTAATACACAACTAGATAACAAACCATAATATCAAAAATAATTACAATTGGTATGAAAACTTTAGTTTTCTTTTTAGTTCAGTACAATTCCTACTATACATGCCATTTTCTTAAGATTATAAAAATGATTTATCACTGAATTCTTCAGGGATTTTTTAATTTTTTTTACTGTAGCTATGGTCATTCCTAGTAGTCTCTCGTTCAAATGTTAATCCTGCTTTTGTTTTTTGTTTAAATAGTCAGCACTCATGTAGCACTTAAAATATTTATCACAGATAACCCTGTAATCTTCAGTCAGTATATTATTCAACTGAAGTTTAAATGGTACATAAATAGAGGGATTATGTACTGAATACCATATTTAAAAACTGTTCCTTCCATTAACTGAATTATACCTTTTTTTTATTGAGAATTTTTAAAAGTTTTTACAAATAACAAAAAAAGAACAATAAAAAACAAAAAAAACAAAAAAACAAAACAACCCTCACCCAAACCCTCCCAAACCACCCCCTCCATCCCCCCCCCCGAGCTTCCCAGAGCTGAATATAGGCTTAATTAAAATTTTAAGAAACCTAAACAAGTTTTAACAACTTATAAAATAGTTAATAATAAAATATAAGTAACATAAACATTAAAAAAAATACTTAAAAAGGAAAAAAGAAAAGAAGAAAGAAAGAAAGAGGAAAAATAGGAAAAAGAAAAAAAAGGAGAAAAGAGAAAACAATCCATCAAATATCAAAAATTATATACAAGTTATAAAAAAGCTAAATGATATTTTTTTATATCCAATTTATGTTGTATAAAATTTATCCATTTTTCCCATACAAACTAACAGCCTTGCGGCTGTAATCAAATTTAACATCAATATAACCTCCTTAGCATCACAATCAGTAACAATACCTAACAAAAATAATTGCGGAGTAAATTTTACCCTCCTTCTAAAAATTCTTTGAATATTCCGCCATATCTTAATCCAAAAAGCTTTTATATTTTTGCATGAATTATACCTTTTTAATAATAAAAGTATTCCCACATTCTTTCAGTACCTTTAAAATGTTCCCTTGTAGAATGATCACATTCAAAATAGATTTACGATTCTAGTTTTTAGCAATATGAATAATTATTTTAGTTTTTTTTCTTCATACATGCAAAGTTAATTTTTGACTTCTGTTTTCTACATTGTAGCAATACCCATTAATATCAATGACTTTTAAAGAATTATACCCAAAGACAGAAATAATAAGACTGTCAGCTGTTCCCAACTGGGATGTTTGGAATTTCCTACAATTTGGGGAATAATTCCAGAAAATGTATTTTAATAAGTTTGATACATTTTATTTATATGCTGCCAATGGCAAGAAAAGACAACATTGGGAAAGTAACATTGTGCCAACAATGCAAGAGTAGGACACCTGAATTGGTGAACAGGCAGCAATAACAAAACTGACAATATGTATTCATAATAAAAAAATTAATCAAATTTAAGCAGGAAAGGCTCCCTTATATACAGTGCATTACCCAGCAAGGCATATTCAGACCTTTGGAATATGGCTTTTAAAAAAAGAGACTAATTTAAAACAACAAATAAATTACAAACAGACATAAGCAAAAATCTCTAAAGTTTAATATTAAATAATAAAATCATAACATAAATATTGAAATTGTATGTAGTGATTGGGGAAGAGAATGGAAGGGAAGAGAGAATATGTTACCAAAATTACATTTCGCAATGTTTTTACTTATGTTCTACTTTTTCCTCTTGTCTTTTGTATCTTTATGCTATGCTTTTTTGTATTGTTTTAGCTTATGTAATGTAATAAAAAACATTGGAAGCATTTTCATATATACTTGTTAATCAATAATCAATAATCTTTTGTTATAACCTTATCCAAGTTTTCAGTTTAAATACATATTCTGTTGGAAGTTTTAAACCAATGTACACTTTACTTTAGCCAAAAAGTAAACCTTTATTTTTTAATGTTTCAGTTGACATCTGAAATGAAAACTTGGGATGATGAATTCAATGGCTAGAAAATAATTCATCTTGTGCTTATTTCTAATGAATCAATGAATACATGTTCATTCTTTTAGGAGTACTTCAGTTATGACTAATTATTTACATGGCAAAATGGGCTGCAGTATCAGAAACTCTTGATTTCTTAATTTCTCTATGTGATTGATCTACTACTTGAAATCTAACAGCTTACAGGATTTCTTGTATAAAGGCAGTGCAAAATTAATATTCAAATCAATTATATAATAAAGCTCATAATCTATTTCTCCAAATTAGAGTTGTTACATAACTACAAATTAATTTGGCATTTGGTTTGGCACCACTGACTATAAACCCTCAAGGTCTTCTGGAAGAGCCATGTGGTCACTTGCTTCTGAAAAACCATAAGGATGGGTGCTATCCTTGTTTCAGGGGGCAATCGGTTCCAAAGGAGGTGTGCTGCAGAGAACATTTCTTGTCAGGTCACCTCCCATTGTATTTCTTGATATATAGGGATCCTTTGGTGCTCCCTAGTTCAGATGGGACAGTTTGAAACCATATGGGAAAAAACAGTCTCTACGGTGTGGCCCAAAGACTCATACAGCTTTATTTGTGATTGGCCCTTTGAATTACACTAGTAACCAGTGCAACTCCCACAGCAGTGGTGTAATATGCCAGTATTGTAATTGGCCTCTGGGTATACGTGCTGTAATACGTTCATTCTTGACCACTCAAAATTTCTGGATGATTCAAGCATTTCCCTATGTAGAATGAATTGACGGGCATGAGTAACTGTCTTCGGTGCATAGTGGAGCATAATCCCATCAAATCAAAGATGGAGTAATTGGCCTCTGGAGCAACAACCACTCCATTTGGTTTGGGTTAAGTCTGAGCCTGTTTTTCCCCATCCAGACCCTGACAGCCTCCAGACACCAGGTCATGTCTTCTACAGCATCTCCCAATGGGCTTGGAATGGAGATATATACCAGCAGGATAGGACAAATTGTAAGTCACAGACCAAGAGGTAGAAGTCAAAGAGGGGTGTGTTAATCAGAGTTCTAGGCAAACCTGTTGGCAAAGTAACAATAGAAAAAATAGCTTCACAAAAACTAGCCCAGACAGACGGCTGCTGAGTTTATCTTACAGACATCCCTCACCCAATAAATGTACAAGATGTTCTTCGATGATCACAAACAACCTGTCTACAGCTCAGTGACTGGGCACAAGCAGCACAAACTTTTAAAAGGCATTGCTTCTTCTTATTTCATTGCTGAATTAGTATTATTTTTTGAAGCCAGCATCAACGCAGGTACCCCTAGCAGCTCCTGTCATTTCTTCCATGTTTTGTTTTGCTTTGTTATCGTTTCAAATAAATAAACCTGTTAAAAACTCTACTCCTTTATGCAACAAAGCTATTATTTTGCGTCAATTATGGAAGCCAGGACATTGTATTATGGCAATTGATTAGAACTCAATACAAATAGGAATGGTGTAAAATCCAAGGATTTTATTTGTTGAAAATATAAAGTTGCTGGATTATAGTGCCCTCTAGTGTTTATATATTCAAATATTTTTAAGACTTAAGTGGTGATTTTGAATGTAACATTTAAGAGCAATTGTTTGTTACTTGCATGTATTTTTTTTTAGTTCTACAGATTTGTTTGTAACTTATAGGTTTTTTTCTTTAATTTCCAATCTATAGATAGAGAATCAATATTTTTCAACAGTCACAATGTATCAAAACCAGAATCCTCTTCCATCTTAACAGCAGTAAGTATTCCAGACTTCTTTCTCCAAATTCTGATTCTGACAATAGGCTCCTCTCAATTTAACACTGTTCTTTTCAGGCTTATTTTAGAAATTATTGCAGGAAAGCAGAAGCTCAGAATCATCCAGAATCTTTCACCAACACATATGAAAATGTTTGGCTTTCCTTGAAACATAGGAATTATGATACTTGGTAAATAATCATTCATTCAATGACTAATCAAATTTACAGAGTCTCTGGGTGAATGGTCTTTATACCTGGTCCCCAAAGTTGGGGCTGTTCCAGCTTATGATCACGGGGGGGGGGGCTTCAGCTCTCCCACCCACCCACTTCTCTGCCCCTCCGCATCTTTGCCCATTTGACTGTCCTGCAGTCCATGGCCTCTGCTAGCCTTGCCACGTTAAAGTTGACATTTTGTCCCCAAAGATTTGGCAAGATTTCAGACCTTTTAAAATACTGATCTGTGGTTTCTGCCGATGATGTATTTCATGTCTGGAGGAAATGTGAGGATACCTGTTTTTTCTTTAATATCCCTCTACAATTTCATTTTCTCTCTCTCTCTCTCTCTCTCTCTTTTGTAGCTTGATAAAATAGAAGGGGTGTTTGAGAGACCAAATGACGACGTCATCCAAGCAATCTCAAAGACACTAAGGCAGACTTTGGGGATTTCTCTCTTTGGCATTGACATTATCATTAATAATCAGACTGGTCAGCATGCAGTCATTGATATCAATGCATTTCCAGGTGAGAGCAAAAATGATATACAATACACAAAATACAAATATCATACCTCAATGTTAACATTCATTTCAAGCAAGAGTGCAGCATATTTTTTTCAGACAAAGACCCACAGTTGTCCTTTAAATGGTATACCAAGAATTCAACTTCCAAAAATGAGTAAGGTCAAGACAAAGTGGCTCAGCCCAGGATGAAAAATAAAAATATAAATTTCATGTAGCTTTGACTAAAATCAAATCAGATTAAATGCAAATAATAGAATTCCATCCAAAAATAAAACAAATATTTTTGAGATACTCTGAGGGCTCCAAACTGTGGCTTTCCCCTTTAAAATTTTTTAAATGTGCTCACTCTCAAGACATATATGAAGAAAGTAGCTGAGCCCTGTGGTTGGATCTGGGTTCAGTATCAACACTTCTTTCAGAATTTTACCCATACTACATCATCATCATCATCATAGTAATAATAAAAAAGTTGGAAGGGACCTTGGAGGTCATCTAGTCCAACCTCCTGCTCAGCAAGTTCAAGAGCAGACAGGTAATCTACATGAGTAAGATCCTCCATTCACTTAGAAACTCAAATTATGCAATGGGCCCCTTACAAATCTAAATACAGGTAGCCCTCAACTTACAACAGTTTATTTAGTGACCATTCAAAGTTACAGTGGCATTGAAAAAAGTGATTTATGACCATTTTTCACTCCTATGACCTTTGCAGCATCCCCATGGTCACGTGATCAAAATTCAGACGCTTGGCAACTGACCCATAGTTATGATGGTTGCAGTCCCGGGGACAGGTGTGACCTTTTATGACCTTCTGACAAGCAAAGTTAATGTGGAAGCCAGACTCACTTAAAACTGTGTTACTGACTTAACAACTGCAGTGATTTGCTAAACAGCTGTAGCAAGAAAGGACATAAAATGGGCCAAAACTCACTTAACAAATGACTTACTTAGCAACAGAAATTTTGGGCTCAGTTGCGGTCACAAGTTTAACTCTACACACACAAGATTATAGGCAGATTGTATTTTTTGAAAGTTTTGGATGTGATCTCTTGTTATTGATCATGCTACGTAAGGCTGACATTGGAAAGTTAACAAGGTAATGGGGACTTGCAAAATACATATTCAGATGCAATATGTTCTTATGAATTGTCTTAACTTTCCCCAATCTGGGTACCTAGCAGTGGTATGGATCTCAACTTTCATACTGCTGCACTGGCATGATCATCATTCAGGACACCTGTGTCCATGTATCTGAGGCACACGTAAGGTATGGAAAGTTTGCATAAAGTGTACTTATGAAACTGTAAATTAATGCAGAAGGCAAACTTTGTTTTTATTCACTGCTTCAGTATATTCTTGTTGTCTTCAGCCCTGTAGCTGATTTCATTAGTGATCTAATTAACATCAGCCTTTTTCCTCCTTTCAGCTGACTGGCTGCCTCTAGATATTATCAATCATCGTCTGATTGATTTGGTTTCTCTAGTAGCATTAAGTATTTCCAGCCACTTGGGCACTCCCAAATCAAAACCCTTCCCATCAGTCAAAAACCAATTACTTTTCTATCGATTTCATTTGGTCTACAAATAAGTTGGTACTCTTAAGAAACACAGGCTGCAAAGCTATTTATTTATTTGATTATTTAATTATTACATTTAGAAACTGAATCATACCGAACTGTGAACAGGAGCAATAGAAATGCTAGATTTTTAAAAACTTATCTTTTTAAAAAGTATACATTGAAGTTCAAGAATACTTCAAAAGAGCTCTGCTGTTATCTATTTAAGATATGAACAAGAATGTTATATTCTTGGGATGTGCTTCACAAAAACAAACCCACCCTATTCTCCCAAATCAGTGTGGTTTCAGTTTTATTTTAGTCCCAGTAGTAAGCATTCATTAGACCTACTATTTGGTCTTGGGCTTCCAAGCTGTTCTTTCTTATTGTCACTGAGAATTCCCTAAAAATTCTGCAGAGTAAATTCATTCTAATTTTCTTCAGCAAATTAAATCATCTATTTTCCCGCAGAAGGCATCTGCTAATACTGTCGTTTTCCTTGCTTTTAAAAAGGGGTGGGGAATGATTCAGGTTCTGAGACCATTAAATCTAGAGCTGATTATATGCTAAAAGAGATTTTTTTTCCCTTTGACTATCAGCCAAGGAGTTTTCTCCTACCGATATTACTCTTTATCCTTTTAACTGTGAAAATTATAGATCTCAACCTGGTGGGCTCTTGCATACAAAACTGTTTCTATCCTAAAGCTAAGTGGTCCTTCCAGTGAAATTGACTTCATAGGATATTTAAAATGACATCTGTTGAACTGCAGCATCCCAATAAATCCCAAATGATTGCATTGCATTGTGTGTACACTGCTCACATACAGCTTTTACAACAGCAGATATATTTCTGACTAAGATTTATATTACATTAAACAATTTTACAAGAAGCACTAACATAAGACAAAATTCATTTTACATACAACGTACAGCTTCTGAGAGCAGCTGCTCCGGAGAACAAGAGGTGGAATGGGACAATATATAATGCTAAGTTGAAGGGCAGCATAAGAATTTCAGGATATGTCTCTTGTGTTTAGATTAACATTTCTTGCCACTGAGTTTAAAAATGTCCAGATTTCTCCAGCAGGATGGCTGTAGAGTCCAAATGGATGGGTTCTATGACGGCCTTCCTGCCTGGCAGACTGGGTAAAAACTTCGGCCACACCCCTTCCTTTGGGCGTGACCCCAGTTTTGACTCAGTCTCGAAGCCTGGTAGAAGTGCGAGAAGCAGCTCTTAGGAAAGAAGAGTTTTCACAAAGAAAAGAATATCCTCTTCCAGTTTTTTTTTTTTTTTCCTCCCCTTTTTGCAGCAGGCAGGGATCCCGGGCAGAGGAATAGAACACCGACGCCTCCCAGCCAGGATCGTCGGAGTGGTGAGAGGATCGCCAGGGCGGTTAGCCAGGGGGGCTCGGGCCGGTCAGTGGATCTTCCGCGGATCCCGCCAAACAGCTGTTTGGCGCGGGGACATTTCCCGGACCACCCGCCGGGCAGCTGAGTGGCACGGAGGCCACTCGGTCCGGCGGAGGAGCTGAGGCGCCGTTCAGCGCCAAACAGCTGAGCGGCGCGGGAAAACAGAGCGCTGATCAGCTGAGCGGCGCGAGAAGCGCAGCGCGCCCAAACCGACCGGCAGAGCCTCAGCGCCGTTTTTTCTCCCCCAGCGGAGAGGCACAGCCCCCTTAAGGACAAAAGAGCCATTCAAGCCGGTTAATTACCCTATTGCTGGCTATTAAAGACCCGCCATTGTTGGAGCCTCGTGGCTCATCCGGCTACTATTGGGAGGCGGGGCTTCCTCCCATTCGCCATTTTAAACAAGCAGTTTAGCCGCCGCTTTTTTCCTTTACATTAAGACACTTGGGCAAGAGGAAGGAAGAGGAATAAAAGATTAGAACCTCTATCAGTTCTGAGCGTGGTCTGCTACCACAGCCACAGACCGGGGGAGAGAGAGATATAAACTGTACTTTTGTCTGGACTAGGTGAGGAGGTGAGGAGAAATATTTTTTCTTTTCCTAACTGTTCCTATAGTGACCTTTAGTCACTGCCTTGCAGGATCTTCTGTCCAAAGATTCCTGTCTGTCCGGCCATTGTTTGTATAGGCAGAAGAGGGCACAGCCCCAAGCATCTGCATCTGATCTGCGTATCTCATTCCCCCTTTCCAGGCATTGCCTACTCGGGGTGTCTGGCACAATGGCAGACAATGTCTCGTATTCAGTCACACAGGTCCCTCAATTGTCCCCCCCACAGCAACAACAAAAACGCAGATCTTCTGAATCAGAGGTGGGGGGGAAGAAGAAAGCTAAAACAAAGCACCTTTCTCAGAAGGGACAGTCCAAAACGGCTGAGCGAGAGGCTTTGAGGAGACATTTGGCTTTAGAAAGGCAAATTAGCAGAGCACAGAGAACCAATGTCAATGGGACAAATTTGGTTTCCCCTGTCCCAGGGGTGGCACCCAGCACAGAACCTACTGCCGAGGAAGTGCTCAAGACTTGGTCTCCTCCTGGGGAAACTGAACAGTTAGATTCCTCCAATCCCTCCTCACCAGCTTCTTCACCCGACCACACTCCAGCGCCTCACCCCAACGACAAGGCGCAGGAGAACATATGGTCGGCACAATTTCATGCATTCATGCAGGATGCATTCTCCCAGTTCATGGCTTCTAAGGGGCAAGTGGCCTTTCACACACCCCGTAAGGGACGGGCTAGGCCGCCCCCTACCAGCATCTCTGAAACTTCCTCTCAATTGGGAGAGGGTGACTCAGTAGACCTGGACATGTCAGACATGCCCCTCTCGGAGGACGAGGAGACCGCACCTGAGCAGGCGACAAGCTCTGGCCTCTTTAACCCAGCGCTCCTAAAATCACTCCTGATAAAGGCAGTTTCCACAGTCAACCTAACATCAGTACAGGATGAGAAGCCCTCAACAAGCAAGGAGGCCAATCCTCTATTTGCCAAAAAGGTTCCACAGGATAAGTACATCCCATGTGCGGAGGTCTTTATGACCACGCTGGAGGAACAATGGTCCTCACTTGCGAGCCCACCGGCACCTAACAGCGCGGAAAGAAAGCTTTTCAACCTATCTCCCTCCTTCTCTAACATGTTAGAGGTTCCCACTGTAGATAACCCCTTGATCTCATTATTTTCTACCTCCGCGATTCCAGGAGACATGGCGGAGGTCTTGAGACCTGAGGAGAAGAAATTTGAACACTCCCTCCGGCGTTCCCATATGGCCGCAGCCTGGGCGGCCAGAGCAGCCACTTCATCATCATTCTTCGCGAGGGCCAGTATCATGTGGCTGAGGGAACTGCAAGGCACGGTGCCTCCAGACCAGGTCAGAGTACACCAAACATTGGCCAAGCTCCTCGCGGCCTCTCAATTCGTGTCTGACGCTTCACTGTACGCAACAAAGTATGCGGCAAGGTCCATTGCGGCCACAGTGGCCTCGCGAAGGCTACTGTGGCTCAAAAATTGGAAGACAGACCTGAGGTCCAAATGGCGTCTTTCGACGTCCAAATACAGTGGAGAAGCCCTGTTTGGTTCCATTCTGGACCCACACGTCAGCGAAGGCAGAGACAAGAAAAAAATCCTAGTGCATCCATCAAAGAAGTTAGACAGGAGAGGCAGTCAGGACTTCCGGAGACAGGGCTCCCGCCCAGGAAGCCCCTGGGAATGGAGACAGCCCTTTCGATCAGGGCAATCCTGGGACTGGCCCAGAGGCTCACGATCCTTCTATCCGAGACAGGATCGAACCCAGGATCGCCAAAGCCCGGGAGCCAGAGGCCAGTTCCAGTCCAGACGCCCATATAGGGGAGCGGGAGGCAGATCCTTTAAGCGTACCAAGTGACGCCAAACAGGACACTCCCATCGGGGGTCGGTTAGGAAACTTCATCGAGGTCTGGGAGCAGACCACCACCGACGCCTGGGTCTTGGAAACGATCAGGCATGGCCTGACCTTAGACTTTTGTTCTCCCCCACCAAGCCGGTTCATCAGATGCCCCATCTCCAGAAAGGTACACAAGACGAGGCTGATAACTTCGGCCATAGCTCACCTCCTGTCAATTCAAGCCATAGAGAGGGTACCAAAGGAAGAGGAGGGAAGAGGATTTTATTCCATCCTCTTCGTTATTCCAAAGACATCAGGAGGGTGGAGAGCAATATTGGACCTGAAGGGCCTGAATCATTTCATAAAGTACAGGAAGTTCAAGATGCACTCATTGAAGTCCATCCTAGCCAGCGTCAGGGAAGACGATCTATTATCCTCAATAGATCTCACAGAGGCGTACCTACACATTCCCATCCATCCCAGCTACCGGAAATTCCTCAGATTTACCTACGCGGGCCGGCATTACCAATACAGGGCCTTACCCTTCGGACTATCTTCAGCACCAAGGGTATTTACCAAAATCCTAGCTGTAATAGCAGCCCATCTCAGGCTGATGCCGGTTCGCGTACAGTTTTATCTGGACGACATCTTGATTCAGTCCAGATCTCAGGAACAAGCAAGGGCAGATCTCAAGACCACGATCCGAACCCTACAGGGGCACGGATTCTCGGTCAATCTAAACAAGAGCCACCTCATTCCCTCAAGGAGACTGCAACACCTGGGCGCGGTGATAGACACGTCACAGTGCAGGGTATTCCTTTCCCAGGAGCGACTGATCAGCATATCCAAGCTAATCCACCAAATTCAAAAGATCAGGAGAGTGCCCTTGCTACAACTCTCGAAGCTCCTGGGGAAGATGATATCTTGCATGGGCATCATCCCATGGGCAAGGCTCCACTCGAGGGAGTTGCAGTGGTTCCTCCTACCCTACCAGAGGAGGAACCTCAGCACCTCCAGCAGGAGAGTGCCGGTACCAGCACAGGTGATGAAATCACTAAAATGGTGGCTATCCCCCATGACACTCAAGGGGAGCATATTCAGGGAACCGAACAGGGTCACGCTCACGACAGATGCGAGCCTGTTCGGATGGGGAGCCCATCTGGGGACCCAGATAGCACAGGGCCAGTGGGGTCAGAAGGACCTGTCACACAGCATCAACTGGCTAGAGCTCCGGGCCATACACCTGGCCCTCCGTCATTTCTCACACCTAGTAACGAGGAGGCACGTCCTCGTGCTTACAGACAATGTAGCAGCCAAGGCGCATGTAAACAAGGAGGGAGGAACGAAATCAGTGGAACTAATGAAGGAAGCATTGGCTCTGTCTCGGTGGGCAGAAGCCAATGTGAGTTCCATCAGAGCGGAACACATCTCAGGGGAGACAAACACCCAGGCAGACTCCCTGAGCAGAGCCAAGGTGGACCAGTCGGAATGGCGTCTGGACCCGGCTCTCTTCGAGGAGATCTCCCGGAGGTTCGGACAACCGCACCTAGATCTATTTGCCAACCACAAGAACACACAGCTCCCCAGGTTCTTCTCCAGATTCCCGTCCCCGGGATCGGAGGGAACGGATGCTCTCAGGTGCCGGTGGCCGGCGCAACTCCTGTACGCCTTCCCACCACTGCCATTAATACCGGCAACCATACGCAAGATGATCCTGGAGGGCGCAGAAATGGTCTGCATTGCCCCTCACTGGCCACGGCGCCCGTGGTTTGCCGACCTCGTGGACCTTTCGATATCACCTCCGTGGAGGATCCCCCCGGACAAGGTAAAACTCAGTCAGGGCAAGCTTGTACACCCAGATCCCCAGTGGCTACAACTAGCCGCTTGGCATTTGAGCGGCAAAGCTTAACTAAACAATCTTATTCTGCAGGGGTGATATCGATCATACAGGCATCACGAAGAGCGTCCACTAATAGGATTTATGACGCTACGTGGAAGGGATTTTGTAGGTGGTGCGCTTCGCTTCACCTAGACCCGACCGCAGTATCTATTCCCAATATCCTAGATTACCTACTGGAGGGTCTTAATAAGGGCCTGTCAGTCAATACTATCCGCAGACAGATATCGGCCCTCTCAACTGTACTCTCCTGCGACAACTTAACTTCCCTAGCACAGCATCCAGCTATTAATGCCTTTTTAAAAGGGGCATCTAACACAAAGCCCCCAGTCATACACAGGTACCCGTCCTGGAACCTGCCTAAGGTCCTTCTAGCCTTGACATCAGCACCCTTCGAACCTCTTGAAACATGCTCACTCCATCACCTATCACTGAAGGTAGCTTTCCTTGTGGCAATTACTTCAGCAAGAAGAATCTCAGAACTAGCAGCACTGTCAGTAAGGAAGGATCTGTGTACCTTTTTCAAAGACAGGGTCGTTCTTAGACCAGACCCGACCTTCATTCCGAAGGTAAATAGCATCTTTCACAGATCTCAGGAACTTTCGCTTCCTGATTTCTGTCCAAGACCCAAACATAGACTAGAACACAGATGGCACAAGCTGGACGTGCGGAGAGCGCTGTGTTTCTACGTGAAACGCACCTCGGCTTTCCGAAAGACTGAAGCATTATTTGTGTCCTTTCAACCAGCAACTATGGGAAAGAAGGTATCTCCTTCCACCATAGGCAGGTGGATCAGAGCCTGCATAGCGCAGGCCTACGTCTCACAGGATTTGCCAGCACCCACTCAGGTGACTGCTCACTCAACTCGGAGCGCAGCTACATCTGCGGCGTGGCTAACGCAAGCTCCGGTGGAAGAGATTTGCAGGGCCGCAACCTGGTCCTCACCTTCGGTTTTTATTCGACATTACCGTTTAGACTCCCTAGCAGCAGCAGACGCGGCTTTTGGCAGAAGAGTTCTTCAACAAGTCGTATCTGCTCAGAGTTCGGTAGCCTAGACATTCCCTCCCAGGGGGACATGAGGGCTTTGGTATGTCCCATCCATTTGGACTCTACAGCCATCCTGCTGGAGAAGGGGCGTTGTCTTACCTGAACGCCTTTTCTCAGCAGGATGATGTAGAGTCCAAGCCCACCCAGAGGATAGGTCTAGGCAGGGTTATAATAAAGATATAATAAAGAGCTGCAAGGTTAATTCCAACAAAGTTTCTCGCCTAAGTCAAAACTGGGGTCACGCCCAAAGGAAGGGGTGTGGCCGAAGTTTTTACCCAGTCTGCCAGGCAGGAAGGCCGTCATAGAACCCATCCATTTGGACTCTACATCATCCTGCTGAGAAAAGGCGTTCAGGTAAGACAACGCCCCTTCTCTCTATAGTATGTTTACCCTATCCTCTGTCAAGAGGAATTATCATTTATCTGGAAAAAAATAATATCTCTTAAAAGCTTGGCAGGAATCTAGCAATATGTTTTATATCTCTATACTGTAGCATCACCTTTGGGAGAAGCAAGGTTTTTATTTCCCCAGTGATCTTTCCATCTAAACTGAGTCCCGTGCCTATCTCTATAGCAGTCAAGCACCAATTAATATCAGTAACATTGATCAGGAGAAAAGAAACAGTCTCTTAGATCTTCCTTTGTTCAGAGATGTCTGCAAAACTTTTGTACTTTTACAAAGAGCACTTCACAGTTTTGGGAGTCGGAGAAATAAAATATGGGAGATATTTTAAAGATATTTTTAAAAGGGAAAAAACAGTGATATTTTCAAGAGGTACACAATTTAATGAAATATCGCTGTAGGCCATCTTCTTAAGTATGAAGGGGGGAGGAGAACTTTAAGAAAATGGTAGTCATAACTAATGTTTTATCTCCTGACTTCTTCATTACTTTCAGGATATGAAGGTGTCTCAGAGTTTTTCACCGACCTCCTGAATCATATAGCTACTGCCCTGCAGGAGCAAACACCAGAGTTGTCCCAGCTGAACCATAACAAATTCCTGGCAGAGCAGAGCAGCAGCCTCGTGGGGGAGCGGACGTGCTGTGCTAACACTGGTTGCCGGAGCAGGGCAAGCCAAGACCCCTGGATTGTAGAGAATGAGACCAGCAGCTCAGTCAAGCTGCAGCACCAGAGGCTGGGCTGTAACTCATCCATGTCACCAAGCTTTCAGCAACATTGTGTGGCCACATTGGCCACGAAAGCTTCCTCTCAGTGATCCCTTTCTGTGCCACAGACTGAGAAAGAAGGCCATCAGCCCCTGGGCTGTGAAGTCCATGTAATTTTTTGAAAGAAAAGTGAAATTAGTGATATGGGTCCATTTTAACAGATTCCTCTTATAATTCTATAGCAGGGGTCCTCAAACTTGGCCACTTTAAGACTTGTGGACTTCAACTCCATGCTGGCTGGGGAATTCCTGGAGTTCAAGTCCACAAGTCTTAAAGTGGCCAAATTTGAGGACCCCTATTCTATAGTGAGTTTATCCATCCATGTATGGATGCCTGTTGTGCGCATGTATCTTAAACACTATATCTTAACGTGGGAGGATGGATTTGTCTTTTTCCCATGCCTTTTTCTTCTCTTTGTAATCATTGACCAGAGTTGGGTGATGAATTGTGCCGGACTGATAAGGATTTGTGTTGAAAATTTGCACACTTGGATCCAACCCCTTTCCATCTTTGTTTCCAAAAAGCCCATTCCAAAGAATAAAACATGTGTTTATTTTACACCTAAATCCAGAGGAAATCTGCATACCCAAGATCACCATTTTACTTCTTTGTGAAAAACTTTGAAGTTTGAAACTGCTTCAGATGGTTTCCCATTTCCCTGAAGAAGAATGTGTGGGTGTTTATTTGCTCTTGTGAAAAACTATAGGTTGAGGTAATACTGCCATTAATCTCATTTGGGGCAGAGGACTCCATAATTGTTGGAGGATTACCACATCTGGCATAAGAACAAGCTGGGAAGTTTGGCCTTTTCTTTTTCTGCTGCTTTACTGATCCTGAGACAAAAGGACATCTCTTTCACGTATTTATTAACTGATAGGGTGACTTATTTTTAGCTTTGTATGGTGCACAGATCCATTCACTATGATTTATAAATCATGGTTTCTTTGTTAGAGTGGACTTGTGCATCATGTTAAACAAGAAACTCAAATTGTGGATTAGCATTACATGTGATCTACGGGCCTGTTTGTAAGCACTACTGTGCACAAGTATTTTTTCTTAGTGGTGGGTAGAAGTAAAAGTAAATTTGTTAAAGTAAATTAGCAGCAATCTGTCTCCATTTCTGGCCTATCATTTGTGGAGTTGAACATTTGAGATACAGTATAAGGGTAATATTTATCTAACCTGTAATTCAGTCTGGCTATATTTTAAGAACAAGTAACAAAACAACATTGCATCTTTCACTCTGTTTCTTTCAACACATCATCTTTGTGCAGCTTTGAACTGGTCATGAATTTGAAAAGGTACTGTGAATGAGTTTTGGGACTCTTAATTTGAGACAATCTTTAAATTGTCTCAGGAAACATTGTTAAAATATTTTACTTATTTAGATACATTTGGAAAGATTGCTCATCATGAATTAGGGATCTGTGGACTAATTCACACTCAGGTAGTAGTGTGAATGTATACTACATACATACTACAAGTTGTACACATGAATCCCAATTTTTAAAAGGATAATATATTGGTAATATTTGCATACAGGCAACATTATGTGTTTTTGTTGGATTAAAGAAAGTTTGAATTCTCAGATTCTCTCAGTTCCTATAAAGATGACCCATTTCTTAATATGTATGAACTGATATTAATATATTTTCCTCCACTGATGGCAGCTTTTTATTTGTTTCTTTGTTTTTAGAGTAAGGGAAAAATGGAAATATCTGATGAAATATGAAAGGGAGATTAAAAAGAAAGGACCAGAAATGATTCTAAACTACAGTGTAAGGGCAGGAAACTGTACAAGAATTAATAGGAAGGAGAATTGCTATGCTTCTTTGTGATTTTGTTTCTAAAGTTCTTCATAATTTTGCAGTAGGTATTGACTATAAATAGCGGAAGAGAAGACAATATTTGTAGAAAGGCTTCTTATATGATACTATATAGTCATTTTGTTTATTTCTATTTCAAATTTGAGTCATATGATCCTGAATTATTGTCTTAATAATAACAGTTGCTGCAATTTCCCAATAAATTATTGATATTTGCCCTTGCATATTTTACATGCCTTTGGTGGGAGTGAAAAAATTGGTCAGACATATATTCATAAACTTTTTTTCAATATAGCAACACTATTAAAAGTTTTTGATATTAAAAAAAATGATAGGATTTTAACGTTAAACACACACAAAATACAAACCACGATTGTCCTAATGAAAGGCACCTTTGAACATAGCCGAGTCTCTCTCCCCTATAACATTAATTAAGGCAAGAGTATTTCATTGCTGTACTGAGCATTGCCATCCCCTCCCTCCAAAAAATACTACCTCCTTGACTGCTGCTTGCATGGATCAAGAAACTACCAATTTGCAATAGGGTTCAAACCATTTTGTTTTATTATACAGTTTGTGGAAGAGCCAAAGAAAGAGGCAAAATAATTTAGTTCTTCTGGTATATCTTCAGGGAACAAGCAATATTATCTGATTCAGAGGGATATTATGACAATATTTGTAATTTTAAGGGGAAAAAAACTCCCCCACATCATCATCATTTACCCAATAAATTTCAGTTTTGAGGTGAGCAAGCTGAGAAAAAGAATGTTCCATCTGGTTTAGTTAGAAGACATTTCAAAACTGTTGATCAGCCTGGACTATTTGATCCTGTTTAAATATCTTTCTGCTATTTCCTATTTTTAATAATGACTAAGAATTTCTTTTAATGGCTGCCTTCTAAATTTTGGCTAGCCTATTTTGCACTGTTTTATTTCTCCAAAATAAACTACTGATATGTAATTGTACATTTTATATTTATTTACAAATGATATATTTCGTAAATTCTCCAAAGTCTTAATACAAAGTATATCTTATAAAAGTGCAGTTCATATCTTGACTTTAACTAGAGTCTAATTTAATTCTGTAGTCAAATAGGTTGTCAGCTTCCTTCACCCTTTGATGTAACTGCTGCTTATTTAAAAAAAGACAAAGTGGGTTCATAGCTTGCATTTAGTTTAATAAGATGGCATTGCAAGTGGGCTGACCAGCAGACAGTTTGTTATCCTTTCTGTGATTTTTTTTCTATCAGACTATTCTGTGTGGAATAAAATATGAATAATATTGTCAGGTTCCAGAGAAAGCACAGTGTGCTATTACATTACAGAGCAATGAGCATATGGTACTAAAAAAAATGAATGCAAAATCAATTATTTCATCTCTGTTTTGTTGCAGTAAGTTTCTTGAACTCTTTTTCAATTTAGATACACCGCCATGTGTTCCTCCCCAAGGGCAGTTTTATGTGAGAACTGGAATGTGCTGAACAGCCTCACATTTGTCATACAGATTGAAGAGAAATGTGTCTTTCTTTTTTCTTCTGAAAGCCCTGGGAGAGGAAGGTGGTAGTTTGGTTATATGATTCCAATTTTTGTTTCAGTCTGAAAGGCCATCTCTACTTTTGAGAGTCTATTGAGTAATAGCAAAAATATTGCCAATGCATGTAGGTCCCCAAAGAAGCATTACTAATGTTGTTAAATATTGAAGGATAATGAAAGTAGACAGGCTTAAATGTACACAAATAGCATTCATGTTTAATTTGTTTAAGAAAGTGTAACTATCCGTAACTGCATCACTACTTGTGGTAACAAAATAAGAAGCAACTATTTTAACTATTCCCCTCCCCCCCGTACTTTCCAGTAAATACATTACAAACTTTTGTGCCTCTCATTAGAATGTTTCTTTGTAAAGCATATTTTCAGTAATATATTTTAAATCTCTACCAGAAACCAGTCCATCTTCTTTATTATAGAAATAAGTGTTTGGATGTAAAATTTCATAAAAATCTTAATGTGATTAAAAAGAGCTAAAAATGTAAAAATTCAGTAAACCCAAGTTATCACATTCTGTTCAAAATCTAAGGAAGATTACATGTTAGATTTATGTGAGTGAATAATATCTGCTACATTGTTAGATTACCCAAACTATAACATGAGAAACAGTTGGTACTGAAAATGGTTAAACTTAAAATTTTTAATCTGCAACAAATATACTTTTTATATCAAAATAATCTAAAGGTCATACTTAAAAAGATTTTAAATCTCTTTTCAAGTCAATTTCAAAATATGCCAATCAATTTACATTTTATATATGCTTTATATAATCAGTTATAAATGGTAATTCATTTAATAAATACTGGAAATCTACTTTTTTTTAAAGATAAACTAAGAAATAATTAACTAGAATTATTAATTACATAACATCAGAACAAAACATACTTTATCTGAATAACGTAATTATTTTTTAGACACATAGTTTAAAACTCTCTTAGATAAGTGTATCTTGGGCTTTTTCTTTCAACGTCATCTGGATAAGCAGATTAAGGTTTTTCTGAATCAACAAGCCTTTTGCCATCAGCAAGGGCTCTCCTAGTGGGCAGCTTCTCTTCCACGCCTGATAACTCAGAAGTGCAGATTACTGTAGGTCGTTCTAAGCATCTTGTAAGATCTTTTTGCAGAATGCTTATATCATGCTCAGTTCTACTGCTAGCCTATTCTCGTTTGACATCATTGTGTGAGCTGATAAGCGCAAACAGGTACATGATGTGGCAGACACCTGTGGATTGAGTTGGGTCTCCCAAACATATTAAAGAATAAAATTATGCTGTTTTCAGCAGTGCCAGGTTGATGTTTTGACATCAATTTTTAAATCCCCCTTTTTTTTCTAGAAAAAGGTTCTTGAGCCACTCTCACTGGGAATATAATGCAGTAATTGTTGATGTCCCAGTGATATTCAAAAGGAATAGACATTCCTTACTTTTTATTCTCAAAATATGCTATGGCATTGAGCTATATATATGAAGAAAGAATGTTGGACGTACCTACATAGCAAGATACTAATTTTTTATTGTTTTTGCTAACTTCATATAGCTGTTCTACTCCCTTCTATTCTTAGTTTCTCCCTCCTGTTTCCATCCATATAAATATGAATGAATTATTTGATTTGTTGCCTACAGAATCTTTTTTTTGGACCCATCATGTATAAAATTGGTGATGTTCAAGAAGAAATAACTTTCTTTGTAAAAGGACTTCCTCTTTTGAGACAGTGTACTCTCCCATTTTTTTTAAGTGTATCAAAATTAAAATTTTTCTGGTTTACTTTGCAAGTAATATTTCACAATATGTAATTGACCATCTTACAGCTGTAATTTGAAAAATCAATTTTCCTTAGAAATGTAGTCCTCATGAGGGCAGGAATTACCCATGATTGTGTCAAAGAAACTGAGTGTTAACTTTTTCAGAGGCTCTTTGCATTTCTTTACTAAATATTTTATTTTTGAATTTTTGAATTGTGTTTCAAAATGGCAAATCAGTATAAACCAGTCCAGTTTTCAATAATAGAACATTCCTTCCTCAGTATCTCAATAAACTTAGCTAACATACTTTACTTTTAAAGAATGGCTTTATAAAACATTACTCTGTATGCAATTGGGACTAAGAATATACAAGAAGAGAAGAAAGTTATTCCTGGATTATGTAATACTGAATTCAGTTTCCATTCAATTCAAGTTTTCAGAATTAAAATTGCAGTGTGTTTATAGTGAAGAATTCAATTAGTACAAACTCACCTGCAGTTTGAATTAATATAGTCAAGGAACAAGGACAGCACTGGTTATTTACTAAGTTCAAAGGACCAACTGGTATTTTGTAATACAAGTTTCCTTTAGTCAAACCCACTTTTGTAAATTACATCTATTTTCCTTGTGATTGTTTTGTTTAATCTTATTTTAACAGAGCATAATTTAACAATTTGCTTTTAATGAAAAATTGAAACATAAATTCTCAATGCGCTGTTAGATTTTACTTTAGAAAACACTACCAAAATATTATATGTTATAATGAATAAGAATATTGGGTGCAGAAGGAAACTTGTTTGCAAGTAGTTTATGGCCCATTGGCACTTGTATCTTTCACCATTTGCACAGCAACATCTTAGTGTATTTGTTTAGTATTTGAAGGAAGTCATATTTATAAAATGCAAATATGTAAGTATAAAAATATGACATCTATATTTGAGATTGTGTGCACCCTTTAATAGGGATTCTTTATCATTTTTATGAAAAAAATGGTAAAAAATATGAGATGTATTTTTCCCAGTTCTTTGCATTTCTTCCTTGGTGTTTTCATATAGTTCACATATTTCCTCCTGTGTTCAATTCCAGTTAATATTCCAGTGAATTGGGCTCATCTCTACGCTAATATGGATTGCACATCTCTTTTTCTTCCCCTTTTCCTCTTCCCTTCTTTTTATTTTTTGGATGGGACAGAAGTTGTGGGAAGTTTTACAAAAATTTAAAGCATGCTTAAGCATTTTATCAGTTCAAAGTTGAAGTTATCTTGGACCATTTCTTTATTATATCATGTTTGAATTAAGGATATTAATACTGTCTTCTGCTATTTTAGATAGTGTTATAGCAAGTGTGAGTGTTGTGATTTGCTTTGGCCCTGTTCACAAAATTACTTTCGTAAAATTAAATTCTTTTGTATCTAGAGTGTGTGTACCCGCCAATACACACATGCATATTTATACATGCATATGAATATATATGATTTCATTTTTAAAAAAATAGCCCTATATAAAACCAAAAATATTAGTTCCTTGGCAGTTTACTTGTAGTGCATGACTGACGTCCTTCTCAATAATCACATGATGCTTCTCTTGCTTAAATCATTGATTTCCATAATCTTTTTCTCCATTTTCTCCTTATTTACCAAACACTTGTGACAAATATTTTACTATTTTAACCATAGAGTTAAAATGCACTTAAATCTCCTCTGTTGTTTCAATGTCTGCTTCAGAGAGAAAACTCCATTTTGCAAAAACATGATTAAAATAAATGCCTTATACAAAACCTCATTCTGTCTTCTGGTTAATGACTGAAATATTGTATATCTGAATTTATTGATACACCTTTATATACCTAAATTATTTATACTCTTAAGAGAATGTAACATGGTGTGAATTTATTAAACTTTGGTACCAAGCACTTATTTCCATTTCAATGAGATCAGGCTACCTAACCCAATAGTCCTCACTTTATGCACTCCAGAAATCTTAACCAGAAAATCATCTGCTAGTTGATTTTTATCAGAGGTACCAGGAATGCAGTCTCCAACTTCTTAGCATGACAATATAATTTATTAGATTTATAGGAAGACCCAATTCAAATCAGCTCTGGGCAATGTACAATATTAAAAATGAGTGAAAATGATCAAAAATGGCTTGGTATACCTCCACAACTACATGAATACCTTGAAGACCCCACCCATAAAATTAATTGAAATCCTGGGAGAAAAACCAAGTTTTGAGAGATTTTGAGGGTGGCATCACTACCAGAGAAAGCATAGATCCCGGGTCCCATTGGGTGACATCAACAGGACCCGGGCATGCTAATTCCATCAGATCAGATGGAAAATATTAACACTGGGAGATAATCCTTCAAGTATCTAATAGCCAGGCCTAATGCTGTGAGGGGTTTTAAAAGTAATAACCAGCTCCTTGAATTATACTTGAAAGCCTTTTGTTAACCAGTGATTCTCCCAAATCAAAGATCTTAGCTGGATATATTGAAGCATACCAGTAACTGCCCAAGTTGCTGTGTTCTGGATTAGCTGCAGCTTCTGAGATATTCAGTTCTGTACAAAAGCATATTACAATAATCCATATGTGAAATGACAAAAGCACTTGTAGTCAAAAAGGTACAATTAGAATACAAGGTGGATCTATGTAAATGCCTTTTTTGTCCGGAGCTATCACCTATTTTTCAAGCAGAAGTTGCAGGTCCAAAAGATCCTCAAATTGCTTGTTAGCCTTAAGTGAGGTAATACAACCCTACCTAGATGGATGTGTTTGTAATTGTATTTTGGATGTTATGAGATGGCCCAGAAGCTTTTGGAAGGGGCAACTCTTAAGAAAGCTAAATCCTCATCACTAATTCTAGGAGGCCCAGATATCCATAGCCATTTAGTATTACTCCCCATCCAGACCCTTATGGCCTCCAGGCATTGGGACAGTTGATTGACAGTGCTATCAAAATGACCCATCCCACTGATGAATACTGTGGTCTTATACTTCTACACTTGGCTGGCACAGTTGATCTGCAGATGGCAAAAATAGTTTATTAAAAAGGGTTACATTTTAGGAATAGACATAGAGCTTGATTTCTGTCTTTGTGTGTCTTCCTCTCAATTCAGTGGATGCTAAAAGAAACATTTCACTTTCTATAGCAGAGGTGGATACAAATAATTTGAAGAGGCTATTTGAAAAGTTATTGAAGCCTGCATATAAGCCAATGGCTGCAAATTGTCTATCCTGCTTTAGAAAGTACAACTCTCCTTGTTACCTTCTTAACATAGTGAATTGAACCCAGCCACACAGCATGCATATACAGGCCAAGTTCATTCAGTGCACTGAGCTATTTTTTTACCTTACAAAATGATTAGATTTATTCAAAAAACCAGGGGAATTGTGTGTGAATTCATATCTATGTACAGAATCCAGAATCGGCACTTTAATCACTGCACTGTCTTGAGTCTTTGCAAAAATTATCTAAAAGTACATTAGATTGCAGCTGAAATAGGCAAAGAAGGGAGACCAAGATTGTGTCTTTTATTTTCTCCTTAGTTTTTACGTAGAATATATTGCAGTCAAGAGTGCTATCTTTAAATCAGAACATTAACAAATTATTGCAAGTAATTTTATCCAGGAAATCTAATGGGATAAATAATTCTAGAAAGCTGATAATGAAGGGAAGAGAGGAGGGGAAAAGAAATAACAGGAAACTATAAATCATTTTTTCTTTTTGCAACAGAGAATATGTATGTTAAATCATACTGCTTATTATGCAATAATCCAAACATTATAAAATAAAATGAATAGTAAATCAAGCAGAAAGCAAATAAGCAAATTATGACAAAAAACAAGAAAGCATCACAACTAGAAAAAAAGAGAAATGGCTGTTTTTTGTTGTAATACAGGCTTTTGCAAAAAAAATCACCTCCTCCATTATTACTTTATTGTCTTAAAATAAAATGCATTGTTTAAAATAGTGATTCAACATTTCTGATGTCTTGCTCCCATGTTATGTTGTCGAAGCATTAACCTCTTCTCAGGGCATGGAGCTTGCGGGCAACTTTCTCTAGTTCCGCTTCAATTGCAGCCAAGCTTTCCAGTTCTTGGTCCTAAGAGAGAGAGAAAAAAGTTTAATGATGCAAATCATTATAGCAAAATGATGTATTCACTTTACTGTTGATCTCCATCCATGTACTAACCAATGGATTCAACTACTTAACTTTTGAGAATTCAGCCAATGTTGGCTAGATGCATTTATAAAGCTGATTTCTATGAAGTTAGAGTAAGGGCCTATCTTCCTCCAACTTAGTCCAACTTCAGATGTTTTGGAATATAATTCTCCTAACTCTACAGTCAAATTCACATCCTATATCAATTAGCTTGTTACAAGTGCCAAGAGAGGGTTATATATGATACAGGTTACAATTTAAGGAAGATCGGTCTGTACTATCTGGCAATAGTTCCTCAAATTCCCAAGAAGACCTATCAGCCTAACCTAAAATAGTTAAGGACTGAAGCTCAACTTTCAGTGCCTACTATGATTCTTCTCTGGCTTCATTCCTAGGATGTTCTACTGTTCTGGATATTGGGAGAGCACAGCCTGCAGCACGAAGTGGTTACATGGAGCCAAGCACAAGAATATTTACAAGGTCCTGTCTGCTGAATTCAGTCCACAAGATAAAACTATATAAAAAAAAGCCGATTTTCCTGATGCCAAAAAGAATTCATGATTGTGAAATACAGTACTTCATGAATATTACAACTGATGGTTACTGTCTTTAGTAGACCCACTATTGTTCTTGCATGAATGCATGTCTAAATGGATGTGCCCCTGTCGTGTTTCATTTTCCTCCCATCCATACAGCCAAACAAGTATGAACCAATGAGACAAGAGTTTTTTCCCCTCTTCTTTTTTCACCTTGTACTCAGCTATGGCAAAGAGGTTTCTTTTCCTATTGGTACCTGAGCAACTGTTACCAAGGTTATCTTGTTGATTCCCTGTTGCATTGTTAAACCAATTCCAGAAAGGTGTAAACAAGCCAAAATAGAATAGAAAAAAAAGAAATAATCACCTAATTTTGTGATTCATTAAGTGGGATTATTTTGTTTTGGAGACAAAGCTCTGCAGCTACAGAGCACCAAAGGAGAACTAGAAAAGGGGTGGGGCAAGCCTTTATATGTTGTCATGAGTAAAATTAACTCTATTGTGAGGTCAAATGAAATAAGTGCCGCAGGCTGTCACTTGTTTTCTTTCCACCTCTAAATAACAGCACTCTGGTGCTGATGATGATGGGTTTCTATTACTGACTAGAGCAAGTTGGACATCTTACCTAATAATTTTCAGCATTCTTCTGGCTTTTGACACTTTATTCAAAACATGGTTTCCACAAGAATGTGTCAACCTACCTCTGTCCTCCTGTTTGCACTTCCCTCTTCATCCTTTTTTTCTTCAGGTATGGGAAGAAGTGGAAAACCTTGTTCACTGTCCTCTTTTGAATGATGCTTCTGAAGCCTCCTTGCTTCATCTTCTGGAGACTTATGGAAGTCAACTGTGTTGTGGGATTTGAAAGCCATTTTCATGGATCTATCTGGGTCTTCATCACTTTCATTCTCCTCTGCACGCTTTGTAGTAGTCAGTTGTTTGGCCAGCTCATCCATCTTGTTCCATCTCTTAGCATCTTCTACATCTTGGAAAGAGGTTTTTTCCATCTCTTCACTTTTGGAATCGCTGTCATGGGAGGAGTCATCATCCTGCCTTGTTCCATCTAGAAAGCGATGCTCTCTACTTTTCACATTATGATATTTATCTTTTTCTTCTGAGAAATTTTTGCCATCATCTTGATTATCTATAAGAAAAATAGATGTAAGGAGAGAAGCCATTTTCCATAACTATAATTATTTTTTCTTAACCTGGATGAGGAATGAGATTTGATGCATTGAGTCCAGTTTACCATATTAACTACTTTTTCAGTAGGGCAGAAAATGATGTTGAATCCTAACCATATTCAGTGTAACTTGCTTTGTTATACATAGCTATTGTAAAATCAATTAGGATCTCAGAGTATGCACAGGGGGTTAATTCAGTTAGCCATCACAATGGAATAGCAAAGCACTTAGACTTATATACCACTTCATAGTGCCTTACAGCCCTCTCTAAATGGTTTACAGAATCAGCATATTCTCTCCAACGATATGGGTCCTCATTTTACCGACCTTGGAAGGATAGAGGCTGAGTTAACAATCGAACTGCTGGCAATTGGCAGAATTAGCCTGCAATACTGTATTATAACCACTGCGCCACCACAATACTTTCTCTGAGGATTGCATAGTTACCCTGTGGCAACTGTCCCCAATCATATGCATCTGAGAACACTGGACTACAACTCTCGATCAGTGTGGAAAATTGCTATAGCTCAGTGAGCCTTCTATCAGCTTTGAATTGTTTCATTTGTTTGCCCAGGATTGGAGATTTAACCACTGTAATTTAGACTTTAGTAAATTACAGAAATGAGTACAATATTATAATATCTATTTCATGTTTAGAAATATAGTTGATGCAAAATATTTTAATATATAGTTTTACTTCATACGTGATATGTTGTAACTACTGGCTGTTAACATTGTTGATATTAACTTTTAAATTCATAATGAGTTCAATTTAACACAAGAAACTATTTCCATTCCTTTGACACCTGCTCCTGTCATATACAATTAAGAGCTTACATATAAGAAACAAGATCTTCTCTGTTGTCACTCCAATATTTAAGAAAACTGTTTCCTGCAGGGCTCAAATATGCTTCTCAAATAAGAACATATGTCTTCTCCAATTTATTTCCTATAGCAATACTGGATTGCAATTCTTATAATTTCCCAGCTAACATATCCCTTTGCTGGAAATTGAAATCCTACAGAACTGGAGGCACTATATTATGAAAGGCTGAATTATTATTTGGAGAAGATTAGAGAATATCTTTTGTTGTTGTTGTTAATTGCGAAGTCGTGTCCGACCCATCGCGACCCCATGGACAACGTTCCTCCAGGTCTTCCTGTCCTCTACCATCTTCTGGAGTCCATTTAAGTTCACACCTACTGCTTCAGTGACTTCATCCAGCCACCTCATTCTCTGTCGTCCCCTTCTTCTATTGCCCTCAATCTTTCCAGCATTAGGCCCTTCTCCAGTGAGTCCTCCCTTCTAATTAGGTGGCCAAATATCTTTGGTGACAGTCTTATTTGCTGAAATAAATGTATGTAGGGAGCATGGTTTTCTTTTGTTTTTTACAAAAATCACTAAAATTGATATCCCACATATTCATGCAATTAATCAAAATTCATTTATAGTCCAAATATAAGAAAAAAAGACTAACAATACAATATCTGTAAAAAGGAATAAAAATGTGAGATAAATACTGAAATAATGAATAGCTAATATTCAATAGCATGAGGGAGGTATCAGATGGTTTACAATAGCCAGGACTATAGATAAAAATTTTGCAATCTTCTTAGAGTTTTCTCAAGAGTGGTCAACCAGAAGAAGGGTAATGGCCTCCAGGTTGCAATGAAAATTAGAGTTGTGTACATGTATTAAGTTCAATCACCATTGACTGTACAGTAGACATTTTAATAGCATACGTGAGATAGATTCTAGCTCCAAGTTTGACCAAAAACAAGTTTGGTTTTTATATGGGAGACTTACATATTTATTTTTATGTATTTTATTTATCAAATTTATACACCATCCATTTCACCTAAGTGGCTCTAGGTGATTTGCAAATAAAAGCCATACAGCCAAATAAAAATATAGATAAAAACAAAGTTAAAAACAGTGTATAAATACTGTAAGTTAAAAACTTAAAAAGGCAGAGGAAGAACCCTGAAGCCACCAACCATTTAGGCTTATGTACTGTCCCATAGTGCTTTACAGCATTCTCTGGGTAGTTTATAATGTAAAAACATTATTTGCAAATTGTCCCCAACAATCTGAGTCCTCATTTCACTGACCTCAGAAAGATGGAAGGTTGAGTCAACCTTGAGCCTGTCAGGATCAAACTCCAGGCTGTGGGTACAGTTTGCCCGCAATATTGCATTCTAACCACTGCACCACCAGGGATCTATTATTAGATGTTGTCTTAATAGATAGTGCCTCAATTTGGGCCAAAGAAAACAGCTTATTATGAAGAATATATAAAATATACTTAGGAATAGTCCAGGGAGAAGGAGGAATTATGCTATAAAAGCGATGGGGAACAATGACTCTATCATTTTGGATAACTAAATCCATATCCTCTGCTTCAGTTAATCCCAAAGCTAGTAGCGCTGGCATGATAAGATTGCAAAATGCGAAGTAATCATTAATTTGTCATCAGCAGTGAGGAAAAGCTATCTAGCAAGGAAGTTCCCCAATAGACTTGCTTCAGCCAAAATCTAAAAGATGGCAAATATGGGTCCACTCCACATATTAGAAGTCAAGTTTGAGCCCAGACTGATAGACATACCATCTTCCCTTTGATCATCCACATTATCTGAATTGGTAGGATGTTCCTCTTCAGAAGCATTCCTCTCTTTCTCTTCTTGTTCTTCATCCTTTACTTCATCCTTTTCTTCTTTATCCTCTTCTTCCTTCTCAACCTGCTCTCTGACCTTACCATCTTCTTCCTCCTTCCTTTCTTCCTGACTCTCTTTGAAAACATGCTCATTCTCATCCTCAGATTCCTCTGTCTCTGCAACTTTTTCAACTTCCTGGTGTGTCAGCTTAAGTACATCATCTTGCCTGATGTCACTGATACGATTGTCTATTGCATCACTCCAAGGCAAGCCTTCCATTTCATCAACTTCATTGCCCTCAAACCCTGTTATATTCTCCTTTTCATCCTCAGGATCAACACCTCGAATCCTTGGCTCTTTCTCTTCCAAGCTATTTCTCTCCTCTTTCAAAACATTCTGTTTATTCTGAAAAGACTTTTCCGTTTCCAGCTCAGCCAAAGAGGCAGTTGGCTTCTCATTGTGGGTCCCCTCTGATGCATCTGAGAGTCAAAAATAGTAGAAATAAACAGAAGATGGATAGAAAGCCATATTAAAACAGAACCGCAAACTCAAAGTACATCAATTTCGCATGTTCTTTTGGACAACATTATATATTTCTTACCTGCTTTTATTTAACCCATTGAACAACATATTTTCCCCCATTTACTATTTTGAGATTATATTTCATGCTTTAAAGGTAGACCAGACTATTCTATTTCTAATCCTATTCCATTAATATATGAATTTGTTATCCTATCTATAAATTGGAGTAAATGAAGCTCGACATCACTGGGTTTTAGCCATAATTTAGAAAAGTATAAGGTCTGGATTAAGTTATATTCTTTGTTTATCTTGGTTAAGTATTCCCAGGAAGATTTTTCGATAGGTACCTTACAAATTATTCCCTGTTCCGATGCAAACAAAAGAATGTCTAGATAGAATGCTTTTTATAATATGGAATAAGAAAAATATAACTGAAATGAATTGTTAAAGTCTCACTTCTCCAAAACTTTCACTTTAAGTCTGCAAAAAGTATCCTGGGACTCTGGGTTTTTTGCCACCACACACTAACTTTGCTCTGCTCCTACAATTTCTTCAAAAAACGTGGTTAGTTTGCTACAAACCTAAAACTAGATTAATTCCTACTAACCCTAGAAATCTTCATGTGCATTGACACATCAGAGAATTTGTTGTTCAGTTGCTAAGTCATGCCCGTCTCTATGCAACCCCGTAGACTAGCACGCCCAACCCTTTATCCTCTGTTATCTCCAAGAGTTTGCCCAAATTCATGTTCATTGAGCTAATGATACTGTCTAACCAATCAGAGAATTACTGTTTGAAATATAACTGAGGAAGGTAGAATAGCTCAGATATTTGCACTTCTTTTTCCAACAGAACAGAATAACAGAAGTGGAAGACACCTTCTAGTCCAACCCCTGCTCAGGCAGGAGACCCTACACCATTTCAGACAAGTGGCTGTCCAGTCCCTTCTTAAAAACCCTCAGTGATGGAGCACCCACAGCTTCTGAAGGCAACCCATTTCATTGGTTAATTGTTCTCACTGTTAGGAAATTTCTCCTTAGTTCTAGGTTGCTTCTCTCCTTAATTAATTTCCATCCATTGCTTCTTGTCCTGCTTTCTGGTGCTTTGAAAAATAGGCTGAGCCTTTCTTTTTGTGGTAGCCCCTCAAATATTGGAACACTGCTATCATGTCACCCCTAGTCCTTCTTTTCACTAAACTAGACATGCCCAATTCCTGCAACAGTCCTTCATATGTTTTAGCCTCCTCCCCCCCCCCATCTTTGTTGCTCTTCTGTGCACTCTTTCTAGAAACTCAACATCTTTTTTATACTTTGTGACTAAAACTGGATCGAGTATTCCAAATGTGATCTTACTAAGGCATTATAAAGTGATACTAACACTTCACGTGATTGTGATTCTATCCTTCTGCTAATGCAGCCTAGGATTGCATTTGCTTTTTTGGTGTCTGCAGCACACTGCTGGCTATATTTTATCATATTTCCCTGTTTTTGTTGACATTAATAGTAATTTTAAAATGATTGCTCTACTCTATGTTAACGTTGCATATGTTCTTGATTATATCCTATAGTATTCTGGAGCTGGCTTATACCAGCTTGAAAAAGCCAATTAAATTTAAATTTCCCTTTTCCCTATTTCCTTTTTTTCCTCTTTTCCAAAGCAGGAGAAAGCAGAAGAAGAAGCAATGGATGGAAACTAATCAAGGAGAGAGGCAACCTATAATTAAGGAGTAACTTCCTAACAGTGAGAACACTTAACCAGTGGAACAGCTTGCCTTCAGAAGTCGTGGGTGCTTCATCACTTAAGGTTTTAAGAAGAGACTGGACAGCCACCTATCTGAAATGGTATATGGCAGTGATGGCGAACCTTTTAGAGACCGAGTGCCCAAACTGCAACCCAAAACCCACTTATGCATCATCGGGTGCCGAGTGGCTGTGGCCCATTGGCTGGGCGTGGCCCACTGTGTGGGTGTGGCTGTGGTGGCAACGGCAGACTGGATGGGACTAAAAAGTTCAATCAATCAATTCCAACTTTGCAAGATTTTTTTTTCCCGCAAGAAGTTGAAATTGACTGATTGAAACTTCCTTTTTTTTTGCACACGGCGGCGGAGGCCTAAAGCGAAAAGGTTTTATAAAACCCAGCTGAAGGCCTAGGACTGGGGTGATGGCGCACGTGCCCTCAGAGAGGGCTCTGAGTGCCGCCTCTGGCACCCATGCCATAGGTTCGCCACCACTGGTATATGGTCTCCTGCTTGAGCACGGGGTTGGACTAGAAGTCCTCCAAAGTCCCTTCCAGCTCTACTCTATTCTGATTTTGATTCTGATTCCTGGAATTCTGTGAACTGGTTGAGAGCAAAGCAGAGTCACCATGCCTAGTGCACTAATCAGCTCTTCTGCAACTAGTGGTATGGTGCAGTAGCAATAACAGGGCTAGCAGAGCTGATTATTAAACATGTACCAGCACACCAGTGGTTATATTCCTGCTATTTGGAATCTATGAAGTGTGGCTTTTGTTAATCTGTTGTTGTACAGTGCAATTCAGGAAGGAGAAATTTACACCTGGCTATTAACATGTGTGGGTTGTCAATATTTGAAGTAATTTTTGCTCAACAAAAAAGCAAAGAAGAAGCAATATGCTGTTTGTAGCTGTTGGTGATATAATTATCCTTATTAACTAAGATCAGCACTGCAGAAGGTTTTTAGATGTTATCAAAAAGTTTCCTTGCTGTGAACCAATGTGAAAGCAATAGGGAGATGACCCAGTCACAGTTGTTACAGAAACCAGTTTGGCTGTGAAGCAGGTGTGCGTCCCAAATGTGAAATAATATCCACATTTACAGTGCTTGGGAAGGATTATGTAGGGGTTATGCTGACATCAACCTCTTTCCGTGTTCCCATTGCCTTGGCTTTCAAGGACTTCAGAAAGCTCATCTTCAAACCCACTGTTTTTCTTCTGCTGCTCTGTTCTTTCGCTTGCTCCTGTTTCACAAATGGAAAATAACAATAGAAACATTTTTCACCACTTCTTTTGTTGTCATCATCATCATCAATATGTGTCCCCTCACCATTACAAATGTATACTACACTAAAAGTCAAATCTAAAGGTCCAATATCCAATATTTCAATATCTCAGGGGTTGCCACAAAGAAGAGAGAGTCAACCTATTCTCCTAAGTACCTGAAGGCAGGACAAGAAGCAACGGATGGAATCTAATCAAGGAGAGAAGCAACCTAGAACTAAGGAGAAATTTCCTGACAGTTAGAACAATTAACCAGTGGAACAACCTGCCTCCAGAAGCGGTAAATGCTCAAACACTGGAAGTTTTTAAGA